TTTATAGTTCACATTGGTAGGACACTTTTAACAAGAGACTTATCTTTGAGTTTATTCCATGTAATGCTTTCCCGCAAAACAATAAGCTTATGTGTACCATTCAGAGTCCATAATCTCAGTTAATTAGGCATTTAAGAATCACTAACAGTTTATTATGTATGGAAAATTTATTATTTAGATCGAAATTCATGTATAAGATAAACTAGGAGGGACATCATATCAGTAGAATATTGCTCTTAAGATGGGAAAAATCTATTGGTACTCTTAGTGAATATAAGATTAAATCATATAACACTGGACAAAGAAGTTATAGTAGTTTTGTAACAAGAAAACTAACAAGGTGGCATGTGCAAATAGTTCGGATAGTTAGCTGCTTTCATTACAACATTTAGATTTTTTACATGAAAATACTTTTATTGGTAGCATTGTTTCTTTGTTCGATTACATCGGTCCTTTCTCTATGCAACTCCATTGCAGCGATAGACACAAACTCTATATAGCTATCGCTAATCAATCCTTTGGCTTAAAGCTATTATCATCTTTCTTTTTTTCCTACTCCTGTCAACTGGCTATAATTTTTTTTAGATGCTAAATCAATGTAGCATTTAGTTTCCTTTTTGTGTGCTCCATAACTCCATAAAACAATTGTAAGTCTTTCAGAAATTGTTTAGTTCCTTGGCCCTCTTCTTAATTTAAATTTTGAATGATCATGTGCATTCTATGGTGGGTTTGTGGTTCACAATGCTTCTCATATCTGTTGGAGCCACTTCTGCTTCAAATAGCTTATGGGAGGCCTTGTCACCACGCCATGGAACCATTCCCTAGTGATCTGCTAATGTTAGGCCTACTACCCATGCTACTCTGTGGCATCCGCATTAGGGAATTGACATGCCAACTGCATGTAAAATATCAAAAGAATGGATAGAGACAAGGAAAAAGAGTGTTAGCCAATAGCCAAGTTTTACAGTTGAATCTCTGTAGATGATATGTGCTCGTTAAATCATCATGATTTCTAATCTCAAAAAAAAAAAAAATCATGATTTCCCCATTGGTGATACCCTGCCTCTAAGAAACCAACACCAGATTCCCTACTTTGAGCAACTTTCAAGAACTGGCTGCCAGGCTAAGTTCTATTATGTTCTTTTCCCAAACTCCGACGATAGAATAAGAAACTAGTAAATAGTTAGTTGTTATTTACTAAATTTCTTATATGCACAGCTTGCCTTGGTTTAGTTGTTCCGTTTACTCCTGGAGTTGAGAACCTAACAGGTTTAAATGAGTTGTTTTTCACTTTTTTTTTTTGACGTGAGGAACCTTCCCCATTCCCATTGCATTCAACGGAAATACAGCATTCAAGAGTTTACAGAAAGCAGTTAAGAGCGATTAAGAAAACTACCGTAACCTGCCCCCACGACTCGTCTGCATCAGAAGACTTACAGAAATAAGTTTGAGGACCTGACATATGAGAGACAGAAAGCCTAAACGGCTACATATTCTAGCTAGGCAAAAGGAAAGACAGTCTTTGCAAAAGAGGCCATCGCACTGGTAACAGAAGCATAGCCAATTCTGAATCAGTGCACTTCAAGCAGGTTGAACCATCAGTCTTGGGCTTCATCTTGACCGTCCTTCAGCAGGAGATGTCCTTGTTTCTTCCTTCTTGGCCACCAACTTCATCGCAATCGCCAGCATAGTGTTTACACCCTCCAGCAAGCTTTCTTTGTCACTCTCCAGAAAAAGATTTGCCCAGTAACCCATGAGCGAACATGCATAGCAAATAATCGCAGCAGGGTTTGTAACAGATTTGCCTTCAAAGCAGATGGCGTTACAAGTTTTCCAAATAGCCCAGCAAATAGATGCAATGCCCAGCGTATGAAATTTTGTACCAGCAGGAAGCCAAAGCTCACACCAATTCCAACACTGATTAAATGATTTAGGGATATTTCTGGCACCAATAGCATGGGCAACAATTGCCCATATAGATTTCGCTGTACTACACTGAAAAACAAATGTTATATGTTCTCATCACTGTTACAGAAATAACAGGTGGGGGTTCCAGACCATCTTCTTTTGATCAAGTTATCTTTGGTAAGAATTGCATTGTTCTTAATGAGCCATAAAAAGATTTTAATTTTGGAGGGAACTTTCCCTCCCCTTCCAAATCTTCTTATGATAAGGCCCAGCGTCACTACTAGTCATGGCTTTATATGTAGATTTAACACTGAAATGACCATTACTGCCAAAGCGCCAGAACACAGTCTTTTCCATCTGTCAACTGTATGTTAGCAATTTCTTTCTGAATGTTCTCCAAACTAAGCCAGAGATCATCTATCAACCATCTGGTAAAAGTTACATGGTTGGGATCAAGTTTCACATGATATAAAGATATGTCTGGTTGCTCACAAATCTTAAATAGATCAGGAAACAGAGAGCTGAGGGGTTTGTCATAGATCCAAGTATCTCTCCAGAACAGGGTACTCCTACCATCCTTGACTTTCAGTTGTCTACCTTGAAGGTAGATATCTCTAACTTTCAATAGATCAGACCACATGGCAGAATCAGTTTGATCACAGTACAAACAGATTTGCCATTCAAGTATTTGAAGTGAATGATTTGTTGCCATAAACCCTCCTCTTTCTCAAGTTTCCACCACCACTTACACAATAGACTAACATTCATTTTCTTGATATCTTTGATGCCAAGGCCCCCTTTCTTCTTGTGTTTGCAAATTTTAGTCCACTTAACAAGATGATACTTCCTCTTATTACCCCCTCCTTGCCAGAAAAATCTTCTCCTAATTTTATCCAGCGTATATATTATGGTTTTGGGCAGAAGGTAAATGGACATGTGATAAATTGGAGCATTCTTAAGCTGGAACTAATCAAGGTTGATCTACCAGCTATAGACATAGTTCATCCCTTCCAGATGTAAATCTTTTAGCACTCTTCTCTAAAACAGGCAACCAGTCACAAACATGTAGCCTACGGGGGCTAACTGGGACCCCAAGATATTTGATAGCAAAAGTCCCAATTTGACAATTGAATATTTAAAAGCTCTAGATTGGTTTTGGTGAATTGATAAAATCCTAAGTACTAACCTTTGGCTCTAAGTGATTATGAAATAGGTTAGTACACACCAAATGTTGGAGCAAATAAATGAAGATCATAATAATGGTGTAGGCCATGGAGATGATCAAGCTCCGGACTTAGAAAAGAAGAAAGAAAAACAAAATTGACTCAAAGCAAAGGCATATTTGATAGGATCATTTTGTTTTGGTGCTCAAGACATTTAGTGAGGTGATCACATTTAGAATAGATAGCCGTACTATTAAGAGGGGTGAAACTCGTCGTGAAATGCGGTTATCAAAGTGTCACTAGATGTTCTAACTCATTGCATATGTATTTAGATTATAGTGAGTGCTAACACCCTTGAAAATGCTTGTGAAAAATACTAACACACATGCACAATGGTGATACACTTGATGGTTGGCACATTTGAGAAGGGTGGTGAAGTTTGAGAAGTGGAGGAGGCATCTCGTAGTGACCGGACGCTGTCCTGACAGTGACCAGACTCGGTGCCTGCATCCGGTCAGTGACGCGCAGAGAAGGGCATGCTCGGGCATGTGATCGAACTCTGGTCCAAGTGAAGGACTGGATGCGTAGGGGGTGCGTCCGGTCTCGCTGACGTGGCGTGGCGCGCAGGAGTTGGAGAGGACCAGACTTTGCCTGGGTCCGATCAGCCTCGATCTGACGCGTTCGATCGTGTTTTGCCAGCTCCGGACCCTCTTTGGAGTCAACCAGACTCCAGGCAGCGGCACGTCCGGTTGCTCCATGGCGGGTCCAATCAGTGGCACGGTGGCGCAGGCGCGCGCGCGAGCGGACGCTACTCTGGCACCTCTCCTTGACCCTAACGGCTCTATTTGTTTGGGGCTCTATAAATACGTGATAGCCGGCTTGGGCTCATACTCTTGGCCATTTCTGTTGAGAATACGCCCTAGTGAGCCTAGCCATTCCTCTCTAACTCATCTTGCTTGATTGATTCATCATTTGGTGAGATTGGAGAGCATCCAAATATATTGCTTTGAGTGATTGCATCTAGAGGCACTTGATGATTGTGTTTTGCTGCTGGATTCGCTTGTTACTCTTGTTGGTTGCTGCTACCTAGATGGCTTGGTGCAGCGAGGATCGTCGAGCGCGGGAAGGTGCTTGTCTCCGACTCCGATCGTAGTGATTGTGTGGGGTTCTTGATCTTTCCTCGGTGGAGTGCCAAAAAATACTCTATTGGATTGCTCGTAACTTGTGGATCCCTATCTTGTGTTGGTTGTGCGGCACCCGATTACAGGTTAGGCATGTGATGCCTATTAGCGCGTGAACCTCAAAGTGGGTGAATCGCTACAACGGGGACGTAGCTTGCCGGCAAACAAGTGAACCTCGATGAAAAATCATTGTGTCATCTTGTCTCCGAGGATTTTATTGTTATCCATTGTGATCGATTGATTATCTCTTGCCCTGGTGGTATAACACTCACTATCTCTTTTGTATTTACTTTATATTGTAGCTAAGCTCTTAGGTGTAACTAGTTTTGAGAGTTAGCTTGTGTTTTGTTAGTTTGGTTAGTGAAGTTCTTTAGTTAGTCTTTGAGAGCTCACAGCTTAGAAGAGTAGTGACTTAGCCCTTATATGGAATAGAGATCGTAGCAATTAGAATTGTGGATATTTGGCTTGCATCTTTAGTAAGCTAGCACAATATTTAATTTGCCACTTAATTGTCTAACCACTTGATTTAAGTGTTGCTGTAGAATTTTTTATAGCCTATTTACCCTTAGCCATTAGTTCCTTTCAACGTCTCGGCATAAACGGCAGCCCAGTTAATATATATTTTTATTATGGCTCGTTTGATCCGTTTTTTTTCATATGATGATCTACCAAACAACTTGACGACACAGGAAGCTCACATCAAACAGATGCTCTTTGATTGAGGGCAGTTGTGAGAAGCCATCTGGCTCTATCCGTCGACGCGCACGGCGGCGAAAGCCTCCAGTTTGTTCGGGTGCCGAACGATCTCCGGCTTGTAGCAGAAAACGACGTACTCGCCGTACTCGAAGGGCCTGTAGACGGCGGGATGCTCGGTGTCCACTGTCTCCTCGATCGCGCGAACGATGACATCGTCTTTCGGGGAGGAGAAGAGGATGGAGGAGTAGCGGGTCTTGTCGCCGGACATCACCACGCGGTGCAGCGGGTTGAACACCCGACCGTTCGTCAGTACTTTGAACGTGTCACCGGCGAAGATGAGGAATGAGCCGGGCGACAGCGCGGGGCGGGCCCAGATGCCACCCTCGCCGCGGCCACACTCCACCTCCACGCCGTCGATGTCGTTCTGCGTGAGCACGGCGAGGAAGCTCGTGTCCCGGTGCGCGGGGAGGCCGACGACCCTCTTCCCATCCGCCGTGCCGGGCGCCGCGTACTCCGTCAGCCGGAGCTTGAACGACGTCGCCTTCGCCTGCTCTTCGATGTACTCGGCGGTTGCGCCCGCGCTCTCCAGCACCATGCGCCGCACCACGGCCTCCAGCACCGCCACTTTCTCCGCGTACGCGTGCATCGACTCGCTGCATGCAACAAAAATTTTCGTCGAAAATCAACGTTTTTCGAACGACCACGGGAAGGTTTCTGAACTTGATCGACTGACGAGTGTTCACCAGAAGGATTTGTTGCCGGTGTCGGGCCACATGAGGTCGGCGAAGGCGCGGACTGCGTCGAGGTTGAGTGGGTCGTCGATGCCCAAGCTCTCGTACGGCAAGCCGGGGATCGAGCCGATGTAGCCGCGGTAGGGCTTGTCGCTGGTGTTGCGCGCCTTGGCGCTGACAGGCAGAGAGAGGAGGGACTCCACCGCACCGCCCGGGCCGAGAACGGCCGCGCTGAGCTCCGGAGCGATGAGGCCGTCCATGACGGCCTCGAAGCAGCCGTGCTCGAGGAGCGCGTCCATGACGGCCGCGCGCACGGTGGTCCACCGGGCGTCGCGGGGACCTGCGGCTGGGTCGATGCCGGTGAAGTCGATCCTGGGGATGCTGCCCTGCATGTCGTTGTTGGCCATTTTCTGCAGCTTCCGCGTGGCCTCTAGCGGCTGTTGCGGCTTTGTGAGACTGTTTGGTCTGAAAATGAATGCTGATGTTCGTGCTAGCGCGTCTTTATAAAGGTGGATTACTTGACTCATTCAATAATTTGTAGGGAGATAATTTTCACATCGTACTGATGCTGAACCTCAACCGTCAAAGCGGATATACAATTTTGCATTAAGTTTTGGTGCTGCCAATGCTCCTCTTCTGATGGACAGGGAGATTCCATTATCTCAGATGCTTCAACTTGCGATATGCCCACTCTGTTCTTTCTGTTTGTTTTTCACCCTAGTATAAGTACACATGTTTGATCACTAATAATAAATAAAAAGGCCTTGAGAATCATCTCTTAATAAATAGGAAGAACCATGGGTAATAAATTGACCAGGGATATCCTCACATGATATAATACTGAGCAGTATAAATAATGATAGCTAATACTGAGCAGTATAAATAATGACTGTACAGAGTACTAATCTGGATATCCAGAACATGACATTAAACACTAGCGGTGGATCTCAGGAAGGTCCTGTTTGATTGAAGCTGCTAAATTTTAACCAGCTAAACCAACTGCTAAACTTTAATTACTCCTGTTTGGTTTGGTGGTGTCGGCGTAAAAAAGTGTCGATGCGCCTGGCACACAGCAAGCCAGAAGGATCAGCTCGGAGTAAGTTCGGAGATCTGCCTGGCTTCAACGTAGGACCAGTCGATTCTGCGAATTCCCAAAGACGTGCCAGTCAATTTGACATAATATTGATAAGAAGAGAAATTTTATCACTAATTTAGGGTGGAACAAGTCGGTTTTTCCCACACAGTTCTAAATGTGCCGCTTCGGGAGCAGCCAGACGTGAAAAATCGACTAAATAGCCGATACGAGAAGAAATCAGCTGTTAAGAACATTAAAGCTCGCGGGTCATGATTGATTTTATAGTAACGAATGCAATGCACCTAGTTTTAATGATCATTTTCCTTGAGCTATTAACATGTATGCGTCAAAGATACATCAATGGCTAAATTAGATTTGATCAATACGTGGTGTAGAGCCCATGAATCCGATGAAAAGAGATATGCCACGTAAACAATCGACTGTTTGATATAGCAAGATCTACGAACCGTCTATATATAATATATTACCATCAACAGTGAGGTTCGATCGAATCGATGCAGCTATGATGATGATGATAGTCTAGAACCAGAAAATCCATAGAACCGACCATACTTTAACAAATTCATGAAAAACGTGCCATATCTGTGGAAGCACAGGCGAGGATTCAGATAGAAAAGGGATTACAACATGCGAACAATCGACTATTTAATATGGACAGATCTATAAACTCATCAGATCTAACCTGTTATCCTTAACAGTGGGGTTCGACCAGATCGATGACAGCCATGATAAAAATAATAGATCAAACCTTTAAAATAAAGAGATTTATTCACATTTAACAGAATCATGGAAACACACTATAAGCGTTAAAGTACACGCAATCGGCATTTAGCCGATGCAGGCATAGCAAACAGCCAGGGTCATGCCTGGTCGAAAGCAAATCTACCAGCTAGCATACATCGATTTAAAGTGCTAACAGTGGGGATCGACCGGATCGTTACAGCCATAATAGCGAGCTATAGACCAGATGCAACTAGCTGGTAAACCTTCTCAAGATAAGACATGCCTTAGCCGCGTACTATGCACGATCAAGATCAAAGTAGAACGACCGATAAAACATAATCCATCGTTTAAAGTAAGGGTTATCACAATATAGAAAAATAAACGATTGACTAAAAGGATGTAAGACCGATCTAGATCGATCTCGATCGGGCAGGTTGATATTGCTGAAACTAATGACAATAAGAACATCAGCAAGATCAGTAACTTAATGAATCTACCCGAAGGACGCCATCCTTAGGTAGAGGCGATAACTTGACCTTAATCTAATTCGAGCAGTGGATGTCGAACTTAATCGATGCAGCCGTACTTCAACTAGATAAGGATTGATAACTAAATTATACTAGAGCTCATAAGAGGTCGGCCGAACCGATGTAGCCTTACAAACAGAAATATAAGCCATGACGGTACTTACAGATAAGCCGAAGGTGGACTGGATCGATGCAGCCCTGTTTGTTGAAGAACTCACCTCCTACTCCTAAGGGTTGGCGTGAAGCCGAAAAAAGTAATTGGTATTGATTGATTGGATGTTTTGTTACAATAGCCGGGGTTCAATATTTATACTCGGAACCTAAGCATAAATCATACTCAAATACGACTCATTACAATCTTTCGAATAAAAGAAAATATTCCTAACTTAAGATAACTTGGACTCTAACCTTTTCTTTTTTAGAGTCCGACATATTTTTTTCGACGCCAACCATAGCTCATTGACGTTATCTGCTGATATCATCCGAAGAGAGCCGATCCCAGTACCGCATTTGAATCAGCTGATATCGATCCTTATACAATCGATTCCTTGATGACACAATCTTGGAAGCTTCGAGTTACCGCGTTCTCCTTCCCAAATTTTGGTGTAAACATATGCCCCCCAATTTTGGGATAAAAATGATTTTATTTCAAAATTTCTATTTACCTGTTCACCATATCGCAACCGTTTATTCCGAAATATACGCGTGACTCTTGATATTCTCGGTCCAAATTTTATATAATATCCCAACAGTATCATTTCTGATTCATTCGGCTCATTCGCTTTCCCCTTCTTTGAGCGAGCCTCAACAACCAAAGCCGCCACCACTAGAGCTCCAACCCTAGCAGTTTTTCTTCTGCTCGAGCAGTTTGTCAAGTCATTCCTCTGTAACCTTTTTTTGGATTCAGATCTATTCCAACTAAAATGGCGACCAGTAACTACATCCCTGAGGTACGTCTTCAAATTTCTGCCATTCAACTATCAGCCGCTGCTCTGTATTTTTCTCTTCCTTAAGTTTATCTCATCTGGCTTTCCAAGGGATGGAAAATGAAATTTCGATCCCTTCGTCTGTTGTTCCAAATGCTTATTACCTTGGACCCATGGGACATGCTAATCCTTCGGATTTTATCAAACAAGAAACCAATCAAATTCCTTTTAGGTAGTTCTTGGTAGATCTATCTTCTTAGAACACCAAAAATCCCTTTAGGAATTGGCCCAAAATACCTAAGGGATGGAGAGACTGGTTCTGTAGAGTGTCAGACAAAAAGGGCGGAGACTGGGAAGTTTACGATTTGAGCCAATGCCTGACCCTTTCACTGTCTGGAATGGAGAGAAATGATTCACTCCTAATTGCCACTTCTTACTTCTGGTCCAACACCTTGAATGTCTTCGTCTTTGGTCATGGCCTAATGACTATTACCTTGGCCGATGTTTACATGTTGATCGGCCTTAGAATAACAAGACCAATGCAGCCATATGAATTCTTAGGTGTTGGGTCAAAGAAACTAGCTAAAATATCGGACTGAACAGGATGGGCAAGCTACATCTAGAACCACATCGGGAATGAATCGACTGTTAGCGAAACAAAACATGTGGCCTTTCTGAACATGTGGTTAGAAATATTCATCTTCTGTGTGTTATCTTGTGGTCCGACTTACAATCATAAACTCATGGCAGAGCATCTAGTATTAGGTGTTGAGATCCCTCTTGGAAAGTATCTGTTGAGATCAGCTTACCACTTGATGCATCAGGTGGCCGCTCAGCTGCTGAAGAATGAAGCAGTGCACACCATCAACGGCCCTTGGTGGTTAATACAGATATGGTTAAATTTGTATATGCATAAGATTGTAAAGTCAAATCTCAAGAATTTGAGCTTTCCCTCCTCCAACTTTGGTGAGGAATACAGAGGTGAAGAAGAAAGAACCCGTCAATACATGAACTATGGTGAAGCTACATCGACCATAATAGTTGCTGTCAACATTGGCCATCTCTTCAAGAAGTTTTATAGAGGGTTTGATGCAGATATTCTGACTTGGCTACCCTATGATGAGGATGAGAACAATGAGTTGGTCTTCCTATTCAAATTTTGATTTGAATCAGGTTGCTCAGACGAAACGACAACTGCAATCTTCAATTCCTTCATCAAACCTTGCGTTCTTCCAGCCAAATTTCATCATGGCCGAGGCAAAATATCTACAGGTTCCTTCCTTCTAGGCAACCTTCCAACCTATGAGTTTTACAACCCTTCTTTTGTAGCTCGTCAGTTTGGTCTTGGTCAACTGCCCCCCAGCTATTTTTAAAGATATACTGAAACCGAGAGAAGGCATTAGCAAGGCAATGGAAGCTTCTAGAGTTTTTTAGTTAGTATCCAATCTTCCTTCCCTCTATCTACATGAATGGACCAAAGCCTCCTTCACTTTTCATTTATATGATTCCTGGTGGCAAGAGTGGCACTCCCACCTCTTCTGCAGGCCAGTTCATCCTAACTATATAGCTCTAAATGAAGATTTTGCTTCCGATAATGAGGTAATCAGTTAACTCCTTTTCTTCCATAAAGATCATCTACTAAGGTCCCTCTGTCAACTTATCTAACAAGACTCCCTTGCAGGATGCTGAATTCAATCCCCCAATTGTGGACAAAAAAGGGCATGCATAGAGTATTATCCGCCATGTCCAATCTCAAGACTGGGATCAACTGCACCTACACTAAGGAAGCTGATGAAAACCCAAGCTGCCTCTACAACTGTAACATATCAATCTTCAAAACGTAAGACAGCCCAAGGGACAACCTAGAAAACCATTACTGGAAAAAGGCTTCACAGAACGAGACCATCAATTGCTCAGGTAAAACAATTCATCATCTTCCCAAAATGATATTCAATTTCTAATTCTGATTCTTTCTTCGCAGTTATCAACCATTGCATCCCAATCTGCTCTGGGAACTGAACTGCTATCTCAGGCATTTAAATTAGCACCAACCAAACCTTCATCGGCCGATCCTCAAAAGGAGCCAATTTCAGTTGAAACAACGATGCTTCTAAGACAGCAGAAGACGAAAGTCC